TCACAGTATGGTGAGGGGCGTAACATTTCCATCTCACGCTTGAGGTATTCGGCCAATCACAACGCACTGGATAGCTGGCCAATCACAGCACACCTCGCTTTTCAGACCGATGAGCTTTGTAAAAACGCGTTTCAAAAAGGCGGGGCATAGAGGAGAAACAATAATGTACAGTATGTGGAAAATAATGTGTTTTTTTAACTTTAAACCGCATAAACACATTTCATTACACCAAATTCACAAAATAATGTTCTTTTTAGCAGCATCATATGACCCCTTTAACATTTTCTTTAACTTCAGTTGTGCTTTTGATGACAGCTAAATGTAACATCACATCCGCATTTTAGCATTAAAAATGCAAACCACTGACTGGAGTAACACTCATACTGGTTACATGAATGAAAATAATGATAAACAAATGATAATGAGTCCTTACATAGCCAGAAAATACAACAGATCATGTGACCATAACCAACAAGTTCTGCGAGTTTCAGTCCTGAGAAACACACAAGTATGTTGTATATACTTGCACTGCATAGATAAAGACACCAATCTTTCAAGTCACTATACATGTGACGTAAGCCAAATGATGTCAAACTTTGACAAAACGTCTTCTGATCTGAGAGCAATAGACCTTTTAGAGATTTTTTTTTTTTTTTTGACATCAAATGTAGCTACCTGAGAGTGAAAGCTCCCCTTGCTGGCTTTCACAGTTTCTGATTAGAAAAGCTCCATTCTTGTTCTCTTGAGACGTCAACATCTTCTCAGCCTCCAAGCGCTTTGTTTCTGGAAAATACCATCTGTAGTGGAAGAGCAGCACAATGTTATTTGATCTAAATATTAACCAGTATTAGAGGTCAGCCTAGTGTCTGTTTCGTAGGTCATTTACAAACTTTTTTTTTTTCCAATTCAGCGAATGTCATGTTAAGAATTTTGCATATATCTTTGGGCCTCTGCAGTTCATAATAATGTCAATACATTTCAGTGTTTGGTTTTAAAGGTGTTTTAGTTTACTTCTGTAGAATTTACTAATGTGTTGGTTACCACTTTATCATATCAGTGGTAATACCAGTACAATATCATGGGTTCTGAACTTCTGAAGCAAAAACAGCTGAGAACCACCAGGGAAATCTAGGGTCCATGTCTGGATAACAATCGAGTATGTTCAAACAAAGACTACTAAACTCTTATAATAAACTAACCTTTGGTTTCCTCAGTGTTTATGATTGTTGACACATACACACTGCTTATGCAGAGACCTTGTGTCCACTAGGTTATGTCTAAATCTTCCAACACAGAGATCATACATGTACAGATGAAGATTTGCTGACACATGATGCCGTCACACCAGCAATACAATGAACTGTAATCAAGTCTTCTCAAATGGCTACATCTGACTACAACGTATGTCAAAATGCTACAAAACATTCACACTCAAGCACATTGTGCACTGTAGTTGGCGACAGACCTGGAAAAACTGGAAAGTTATCTCTAACAAAGTCAGAAACTATTCAGCGCGCCAAAGTGACATACAAAGCATAGTGGCTTTAAGTCAGAGATAATATCACACATGACAGCAGTTGATCATCATCAGAGTTACCGGGTCTGCCTCTGACCCCTTTACTTAATTACACTTCCAGCAGGTGTCAAATTAAAATCAAAGAATTTATTTGATTTTATTTTTTTAAGACTTGATTTTATATTTTTATACTATAATTCTTTTTTATCGATTTATGGCACCTATAGTGCACAAAGCCAAGGAATCATTAACAGGCTCATACTGTACTTCCTGGTTGACCAATGAACATTAACCAGCTTCCCTTCAGAAACAACAGATAATACAGAGACAGAATCTGTTGCCAGCTGCTGCCAGGAATCCTCATAATATCCATCTTGCTGAAAGCAGAGGTTCACAATTAGGAGTCTGTCTATGCACGCAGTACAATACATTGTTAAACATTACAATATGGGTTATACAGTTAGTGGACTTCAGTTATCAGTACTGTACTGGTGGTGTAAATTCAAAAAATTATGAGTTATCTCTGTCTGATGTGATGACTATCTGTGATTTTCAGGAAGAGCAGGGGTTCTGGTAAATATAGCCCATCATTTTCAAGCTTAGGTGTGTTGAGAAAGAAGGATGTTGGGAGATCAACTAATTCAGGGAATCCTTTGTAACCAACCCACACTAATGCGATCCTCTGTTCCCAACTAATCCCATCTTTTAAAAAATATATTATTTGCATACCATCACTACTGATATACATATACAATTCCTTTAAAGATTTGCTTTACTTTTCAGGGCACGGAAACGTACGGTTCAGCGTCGAGGCTTTCTATGGGTGCAACATAATTAGCAGGAATGTAGCCCTCTTTGTTCGCTGAAATCCCGGTGATTCCTCTCGCGTACCACCAGTCTTCCTCTTTC